CGCTCAATTCAATCTATGTGAAGCCCTTCCACAATTTCTGTCTTGTATTTGTTTTCTGAAAAGTAATTTATCAAGATTTACATAATCCATTTCCTATGAATCAAATTATAGCAACTATATACAATATTTTGACGCACTGGCTGTTAAGCTACCTAACAAACAACCATCCTCCTTCATCTGGACTTGGGACCGGTTATATAAAATGTTAAACAATAAGCATGACACGTGCCGGGTTAGGTTGGGCAGTAAATATAAAAATTTAGATTGAATTTTATTCTGCTTGGGTTGAGCTTGGTTGGAGGCATCACTGTCCCAAACAACCTTTTTGGGATATCAATCTATAGAGCCTTATGGAGGTAATTACTAGATGTCCTTGCAGTTATTAACAACCCAGGTCTGTAAAATGAATTGTGTCCCACGGAGATTTACTGCTTTCAGCTGGGCTGCACACCCATGGGAGGGATTGCAAATCCTTGAATTGTCAGTGCCATTTTTGTCAAATCATGAACTGAATTATGAATCATTAGCTAAAATAGTAAATCGTGTACTATAAGATTCACTTTATTTAATATAATATAATATAGAATTTATATATTTATATACATACAAGACCAAGCAACCATGATAATCTTCCCTGGGGTTATGAGAAAATTCGAATGACATGAACGTCCTATGTGCCTAGGCTTTTGACATGGTCACAATTTTTCAACACATGTATTCCACTATGCAGGACCGGTACTTGGATTTTACACAACTAAGGCCTTCTAATGTCAGCTGATTGAATTCGGAACAACTCAGTGTGTCTGATTTAATGTGTAACCACTTTTTCTATACGTTGCTGCTATGCTCTGATGCATGTGTAAAATATCTTTCTGCAGGCAAACCTGAGCAATGCTAACTTGGAAGGAGCACCCGCTACTGGCAACAAATCTTTCAAGGGTTCAACTATAACTGGTGGTGGTACGTAGAAACATCACTTAACAATGGTTCAACAAGTTAGAATGTATTATACGCCTTACTAACAAAGATTTGTGTTTCGGAAGACTAATATAGTTAGTATACTCTTATAGGTTGGCTTGATCCCATAATGTTTCCATTGCCTCTACGGCTTCAGATTGGATGAAATTTATTTTAAGTCTATCTCACATCACACTCAAAATAGATTTTAACTACCTAAGACATTTTGTTTATATGTTTTATATTCTATTTTTTTACATTTAACATTATCCAAAAAAAAAAGAAAAAAAAAACACACACACACACAACTAAAGATTAACTCCCCTTCTAAAGAATTCGACATCCATAAATGATCATCAAACCCGTTTGGGAATAAACTATTTTAATTGACCATTTGATTTTTTATGAAAAGACGTACAAAAAAATAGAGAAAACAATGTAATGATGTGTTTTATTTTATTAACTATTTTAACCTAGGATGGATAGCCCAACCCAGGCCCATATTTTAACTAATTTCTACCTTAAAGTGACTATGCCAGCAAAATCACCTACAATTACAACATTGTAAGCTAAGCACAAAATCACTATATAAAAAAGAAGCCCATATTAATACATTAATACAAGATTATCTAAAAAAACAATCCAAATAAGAACCCATATTTTGTTTATAAATCAATTCGTATGCCACATGCATCGCATGTGCACCCCTAACTAGTACATACATTAAGCCTCTGTTTGGCAAGGCAAATTTGGGCTAAAATAGCCACTAGACTTAATTATACAGGTAATCATTAAAAACTAATAATAACTATGGATTTGGGTATAATTTTATATTATGTAATTCATGTGTATATATATATATGCAATTTATCTACCTTTACTATTATATAAAGCCTACATCTAAATTAGTTTAGACATGTAGCATTTTCATCTTTTTTACATAGTTAAAATGAAAATCTTCAATTCAATGGATAAAGTTACATGACACTAGGACAAATAATTTATAATTTATAATTTATAATTATTAAGTAAATCTAACTTTTAAAATGTCTCTACTATGACGAGATGATTGACAATTTCACAACTAAAGATTATGAATTGGACATCTCCATTCCAATCCATCTAATATAATAGAGAGCAATGTTTTAAAAAATCAAACTTGTGAGCGAATCAAAAAAAAAGTTCGAATACACAGATCATCAGTTCTACCGTCCAGTTAAACCAAAATCAAACCATGACATCATAATTATTTTATATATATATATTTATAATTTAAGATATATATATTTATCAAATATATATGTTTATATATATTTTTATTTTAATATTATTTATAAAAATATTAATTATACATGTGTTTGAAATAAATTAAGTTGAATACAATAAATATTAGATATCTTGTATAAATTATTTTAAAACATACTCACTCCTTGCAGCATCAATTTTTTTAATATTGAACCATATATAGCAAACTGGTTCAACTAGTTTACCAATTTAACCTCGAGTTTCACCAATTCGGCTTAAAATGATTGATTTTCAAATAGGAACGATTAAGTTGTTATATCTTAACCGAACCCTAGACCATTCAAGCTCACCAGTCCGGTGCAATCCAGTTTTGAAAACATTGATAGTCGGGATACAAATTAAGTTAATGTTTGTATAAAAAGATGGTAAACCCAACATCATCAATGGTTCTATCTTTTTTTCTTTTTTCTTTCTTCATTTTTTTATTTTTTATTTATAGTTTATCTATCTTTGATATTCCACTACTAATCCTGCATGCATTATGTATCTCTCAACTATTACTCAAACCGTCTTTTTTGTAGTTTAATTCATTTTTTGTCATTTCAATTGCCCAGTTTCCTTCCTAATTTGTTGGAGGCTTATCCTGCATGCATTATGTATCTCTCAACTATTACTCAAACCGTCTGTTTTTGTAGTTTAATTCATTTTTTTGTCATTTCAAATTGCCCAGTTCTTTCCTAATTTGTTGGAGGCCTTATATATACACATCTCCTTCAATTCTTTTAACTCATCATTTACAGAAAAAATTCCGTGGTCTGTTGAAGAAGTACTAAAAATGATTGTAGGAGTTGCAAAGTACTACATCAGAGACAGGTTCGAAAGAGTAAAGTCAACATTTAACCATGACATCCTTGTGAAAACAGAAACTAATAAACTTCACAAGGGAGAATTACAGTTCAGTGTAATAGACCAAAACTAATTACAAAGTAGAGGGTGCAAATCTTTTGTGCGGGTTTCTAGCACATGGAGAAGTTGCAACCCCATGTTTGGTGTAATTAGTTTTAGTTTATTACATCGAATTGTCCACTTTACATCATATAGAGCAAACCTTTCATATTGCACCAGAAATGCTAAAGAGTCACAATTTTTGGAGAAGTTCTTGAGTGAACTTGGGGTATGTCCAAGTCAATACCCCAAAGTGGTCCCCAAAAGTGTGGGTGTTTGGTTGAAGGGGTAGAGCCCACTACTTAGTTGGGGGCACAGTGGAACAAAATGAGACTCGATATTTGGTGATTGGTGGGATACAGAAACACGTGATGTCCCTAAACCACCTAATATTTGTTCCAATTACAGACTCTCAATTTCACACAATGATATGAGAGGGAAGTGGGACCTATATATTTGAGTGTGACATTAAAAAATTGACAGCTATTCATATCACATCACTGCGGGTCAAATTGAAAAAAAAAAAAAAAAAAAAAACTGGGGGTTTCAAACTTTTTTCCCTTCATCTTTTTTTTTTTTTTTTTTTTTTTTTTTTATTCTATCTAAAATTATGCAGGTGGAAGGAAATCCTAGAGGAAGTATTTCAAGGATGGGAAGCGAACAAAAGAATATTTTGAAGGTAAAGAGTTCATTTTAGCACTACTTCCAGAAACCAGAACCAATTCTCAATAACATATTATATATATATAGAGAGAGGGGGGGGGGGGGGGGGAGGGGAAATAGTAATCACTTGGCATAAGTAAACAAATGAAACTAAGAGATTTATTTTGTTTTAACTAAAAAAGTCCTCTTTAAACTCATAGCATCTCACTCTAAGCCTCCCTCACTAAGCCTTCGGCTGAGAGGGGTTCCGGCCGCTAACCTCCTCTCTCCTCCTTCTACCCTTTTTCTCCTTTTCTTTATATTTTTACTTAATAATATTGGAAGTTTGTCCTTCCAACCCTTTTCTACCACCTTCCCGCCTCCATAAATTCACCCTCACTAGATCTAGCCTAGAAAAATATAAAAATATAGCCTAGAAAAATATAATTTTTTTTTTTTTTGAAAATTCAAAACCCACCTACACTTTCACAGTAACAAAAAATAGCTTCTTTTAACATTTTTCAAATACATCAACTTTTTTAACAACAATTTTATCTCAAAAAAAAAAAAAGCAAAATAATATATATACACATTAAAAAGTAATTGCCAAAACAGCCTTGAAACTAGCACTCGACCAAGCTAAACATTCACATAATAATGATTTTATCACGCTTAATGAATATTATTAACTTACTAAATATATAAAGAGACCCACTTCATATAAAATTAACATAGGTAGTGTGATAGCAGAATTTATATAGTGAAATAAATAAATATTTATTCCATGTATTTGCATTCAAGAGTTGATAATTGCGCAAATGATGTGGTGTTTTAACCATTTGGTGCATGCAGCAAAAGTGGAAAGACTTGAACAAGCAGCATGCAATAAAGAGAAAAGATGAACAGTGGTTGCTCTATGTGATGGCTGCCATTGTTGAAGGTGAAACACAATCAGATAAAACAAAAGTGTTCGAGAATGTTATTAAAAAGTGGTGTGTGACATCGGAAAGAAAAGCTAAAGAAAAATTGGTTCGCAAGTGGCTGAACATAGTAAAAAATATGGGGCTGGAACAACAACTCGATCTAATAAAGTATTTAGTGACAGCTGCAGAACAGGGCCATGCATATGATACAATTCGCTACTGGAGTTATCAAGTGCATCCTTGATGAACTAGGGACGGCTGCAAGAACACATGGCCCAATAGTATCGACTTATTGTTCTGTCTTATGTTAATGTTTTTTTTTTTTTTGGATTGGCAATCTCAAGTTTAATGATTGTTGTGTGTTTTAAGGACATTAATATGTTTGCAGTGTGGCTTTATATTTGAAGTATGGCTGGGATGTAATCTGTGATGATAGGGTACATAAACCGTGTTGTTTTCCTTTATATTTGTGATTAGCCCACTCGTGTTAGGAGTGTCGGGGATTAATTTGAGATCTTGTCGACCGTTTGGGTTCACCGTTCTTGGAACTTTCTTCAGATTATCGTCTTTATTTTATTCCTGAGTTAAGTTTCGCTTGTTTCGAAAGGCGTGAAATTGGATCAGGGGTGTCTCAATTTCAGCTAGTGTATTTTTTGGGCGGAGGGCAGAACCGCACGTGCAGGGGCTTGGGCCGCATATGCGGTGAGGTGAGACAGCCGATGATGCAAGGCTACTTTAATTGCACATGTGGAGGCAGGTGCTGGAAACGACCGCACGTGCAGAAGAAGGCATGCACGTGCGGAAAGTGCTAAGTCTGAAATTTTTCTCCTTTTCTTCTCCTTGGGCTGAGTGTATCTCACTTTTCTCTTATCTATCACTCTCTAAAAACACATTTCTCCCCCCTCTCCCTACTTTTCGCTCACCAAACTACATTAAACTCTCGATTTCTCCAAATCCATTAAAATTTTGACCTTAGTCCCTACATCAAAGTTAGAGAACTCTTCGAGGGTTATGTTTTGTACGGTGAAAATCGGGTTTCAACATCGTTGATTTTTGGGGTTTCTTCTCTCTTTTCTTCAAGAACTTGAAATGGAGATTTTCTTGGAGTTATATATACATTTTTGCAAGAATATGTTGATTTCGGAACTCCCTCTTGTAGTATTGAACTTGATTTTGGTCTATGAGTGCTTGATGGTTTAAAAATGGGTTTACCCTTTGTTTTCTAAAAACTCTTGGGGGTTGAACTATATTGTTAAGGAGGATTGTTGTCTTAGAAAAACCCTTTCAAAAATGGGGGAAATATCTAATTTTGGTGAAAACTTAGAAATTGGGGATTTTGGGAAAAAGGGGTTGAGATTTCCTAAGATTTTGGTTTTGATAAAGTGTTATAGTGATGAATGATTGAGGATACTTTTTTTTTTATTTTAGCATATAATGAGAAATCTCTTGGAATATGAGAAATGGTTGGTTTTGAAGCTTGTTGTATAGCATAATATTGACTGGTCTTGAGATGACCAAGCTGAAAATATTGATTAACATGTGGAAAATGCATATAATGTGGTAATGTGATTGATTCCTCGATAGACATATATATGTATATATATATTCTGTGAAATTACATTGAGAAAAGATGTAGAAATTTTGATCACAATGAAAGACTGTGTGGTGGAATTGAGAAATGGAAACTTGATCACAATAGAAGATTGTGTGATGAAATTGAAAATGAAAACATTTTTTTTATGCATTGATACATCTTGCATTAGCATTCCATTTCATTTGGTTATTATGGATTTCGAATTGAGATTTGAAAACTATTGCATTGAGAAAGAAATTGTTTATGAAACCGGGTCATATTGATTTGTTGTTAGGGTAAATACGTTTGGTAAGTCCGGATAAAAGTGTAGATTGGTATTGTTTAAGTAGCCTAAGTGTCCAAGGTGAAAGACTGAAAACACAGGCAGAAGAGGTACCACGTGCCTTTCAGTTAGCTACTGGTAAAGTGGGGATTCAGTAGTGCTAGTTATACCTACTTGCAAACACCAACTTAGAGATTATCTGAGTCGTATTTACTGCCCCCTTTGAACTATATTGAAATTATTGAATTGTTAATTTTTTTTTTAAGAATTGCATTGTGCACAAGGGTTTCCAAGGATAGTGATATATGTTTTTGAACGTAACATGGCATTTGCATTCATCCTATGAGATTGTATAAAATGTATATACTTTGTTAAGATTTTCCTACTGGGCTTTGTGCTCATCCTATGGGATTTTGTGCAAGAAAAAATGTGGTGATTCCGCCAAATTAAAGGGGTGTAATATGTTTTGAGAGCACGAGACTCTTTTCTTTTGTTGTAATTATTTTGGCCAGCCAAGGGATTTATGTGTATGGATTGAAACCATTTTTGTGTAACCCGCTTAAGCCTTGGAAATTGTAGCCCTTGAGGGCATTTAACTGTATTGAACTGCCATACCACATGCTAAAGATTCATATACTAGGGATGTTGAATGTATATTTGCATGTGTAATATCTTTTGTAAATCTCTTAATGATTAATGAATAAAAATGTTGGAGATTTGTAGACGATGTTAACATTGAGCACTTCTCATGTTTATGTTTAATAATGGGAGTTGGTGAATATCTAGTGTGGGGATTTTTGAGGTGTGACAATTTGGTCTCAGAACTACCGGGTTTGAATGCTTGGGGCTCGCGAGAAGTGGTTGTTTTTCCACAATGGATTTATTTTGTTAAACTATGTTCCATGATTGAAGTGTTATGTGATAACATGTTTATGTGACTAGATGAGTATGTGATTGAACGTTTAGGTTGTTTGCGCTTATTAAATTCGTTGAAGTCTTATTAGAAAGGCATTTGATCAATGCTCATTTTGATAGAAACTCTCGGTATTTCACAAGACAAATTTCATCGTAAAGGAGTAATTTGTATGTGATTATGTGACTAATGTGTTCACATGGAGTGAAACAGAGTGTTTATATGAAATGGGAACTTACAAAATTATTGTGATGTGACGTGTGAGATGAAATTGCAAGCACATACGTGTTATTTTGCTAAGTTGTTTATTGTTGTCCTTGATGTCAAAAGGATTTCATGCGTGTGGTGGTAGAGGCGGGAGACGTGATAGGCCTCACCGAGGTGTTCATGAGGTGTCAGTTCATGAGGTTCCAGTGCAAGAGGAGGGGTTCGGTCAAGCTAATGTTGTCGAACAAGCAAGCCCGGCTAACGTGGCCTAGCAAAAGGGGCAAGTAGGAGTCCCCGAGCAAGCGGGTCAAGCCGCTATGGGTGCCTTAGCTAGAGAGATGGTGGAGGCCTTGAGGGGATCGATGAACATGTTGAGAGCAGAGAATCAAGCCCGGGAAAATGCCGTAGAGACTAGAGCAGCCTTCCTTACTCAGGAATTTTTGCAAGCTAAACCGAATGAGTTTCATGGGATTCCAGAGACCAAAAAAGCAGATGAATGGTTGGAGCAAACAGTGAAAACATTTGAGATACTTCACATTGAAGATAGTAAGTTGAGGGTGACTCTAGCAAAATACTATCTCAAAGAGGATGCGGGCCAATGGTAGAAGTATGTTAAGGATAGGGTGGAACCGACTTGGGAAGCTTTTGTTACTACTTTCCAATTCAAATATATCCGTGGCCGAATTTGAAGTGACCTTCACTAGCTTGTCCCGATTTGCTAGCTTGTCCCGATTTGCATCGGAGCTAGTAGCAACGAAGGAGCATCGTTGCATAGAGTTCGAGAAGAAGTTGAGAACTAAGATTCTATTCAAGGTTGTTGGAAACATGATCCAGAACTATGACCATCTTGTGGAGGCGGCAACACATGTAGAGATTATAGTGCAGGCCAAGGAGGAGAGACTTCGGGGTTAGAGGTCTAGGAGCCAAGAGTCATAGGGGAACTTTAGACCCAGCAAGAAGAACAGGAGCACTTCTTCATCCCAGCTCCAGCCACAGCAGTCTAGATCTACTTTTCCTTTGCCTACTGCGGGCCCGAGAAAGAATGCTCCGAGCAGTTTCTTATGTTCCAAGTGTAGCCAACCGGGTCACCAGGCCAATTCCAGCCCACAAAAGGGAGGAGGGCAGCAGATCTTGCCACCACTACCACCACCACCACCTAACCGATCTCAGAGTCAATCCCAGAGTAGGGGATAATGGCCTAGATGTTTTCAATGTGGTCAGTCGGGCCACATGAGGAGAGCTTGCCCATAGTTAGGAGGCGCACCTAGAGCCTCAGGGTCGAGGCAGACTCAAAGCCGCAAGCAAGCTCATTCAGTTCAGGCCACCAAAGCTAATTAGGGAGCCACCATGGCTTAGTCAGTACAACAGGCTTATGCTTCGAGAGATGAGCAGGTTGATTAGAGGCCACAGGGACGCATGTATGTTGTTACAGCGTCGGAGCAGTTGCCAGGATCCTCTATTGTGAGAGGTAATTTTGTTGTGTTCAATTCGTTGGCAAATGTGTTGATTGATATAGGTACGTCGCATTCATTTATATTTATTGCATTTGCTACTGCATTGGGGTTAGAGGTTGAGCAGTTGGAGTCGCCGTTGTGAGTTGAGTCACCGGTTGGAAGGAGAGTGGCATTGGGGCGAGTGTGCAACTCTCGCGAGATTGAGGTCGCAGATCATTGACTCTCTTTTGACTTCATCATCTTAGGCATGCATATTTTTGATATTATTTTGGGCTTGGATTGGTCGGCACATTTCCGAGCTACTATAGATTGTCAACGACACAGAGTGTTCGTATGTACACCCACCGGGGATTGTTTTCATTTTCGGTGTGATCGGGTTGACGGTTTGATTCCCCCGTTGTTTGACCTTAAGGGTCGATGAGGACTTAATTTTCTTTTTGCTATCTCCTTAGCTAGTGAGGGTAGCATGGTTCGGAATGATTTGCCAATGGCAGTTTGTGAATACCCTGATGTTTTCCTTGAAGATCTTACTGGGTTGCCACCTCATCAGGAGATTGAATTCTCCATTGACTTAGTGCCTGGCACGACACCAATTTCCATGGCACCTTATAGATTTGCACCCGTCGAGTTGCATGAGTTGAAGATCCAACTCCAAGAACTTCTAGACAAGGGCTTCATTCGCCCTAGTACATCACATTGGGGAGCACCGGCTCTGTTTGCAAAGAAGAATGACAGGTCCTTGTGGTTGGGTATTGATTACCGCAAACTGAATAAAATTACAGTCAAGAACAAGTACCCTTGACCCAGAATAGATGACTTATTTGACCAACTTAAAAGGTTTAGTTGCTTCTTGAAGATGAACTTGAGATTGGGGTATCACTAGTTAAGGGTTAGGAAGGAGGACATCCAGAAAACGGCATTTCACACATGTTATAGATTACGAATTTTTAGTTATGTCTTTCGGTTTAACCAATGCACCGGCTTCCTTTATGGACTTGATAAATCGAGTCTTCCGAGAATTTTTGGACCGTTTTGTAGTTGTCTTTGTGGACGCCATCTGATTTATTCAGCCTCCGAGGAGGAACACAAACAACACTTGCGGATTGTGCTTGACTTACTTAGAGTGCACCAAGTGTATGCGAAATTTGAGAAATGTAAATTTTGGTTGACGGAAGGAAAGTTTTTGGGGCATGTTGTGTCGGGAGATGGGATAACGGTGGATTCTTCTAAAATAGAGGCCATGAAAGATTGGGAGCAACCTAAGAATGCATTTGAAATCCAGAGTTTCCTAGGGCTAGCCGAGTATTATCGTCTTTTCATAAGAGATTTCTCTAGACTAGCCACACCTTTGACTAGATTGACGAGAAAGGGTACTAAATTTGTGTGGAACGAGACTTGTGAGAAGTCATTCCAAGAACTTAAGAATAGGTTGACCACCACACCGGTTTTGATAATTTCGGAAAGAGGCTTGGGTTACACCGTTTATTGTGATACGTCCCGGGATGGGCTTGGTTGTGTGTTGATGCAAGAGGGGAAGGTTGTGGCCTATGGTTCACGACAATTGAAAACTCATGAGAAAAACTACCCCACCCATGATCTAGAGTTAGTGGCGGTAATTTTTGCTTTAAAGATTTGGAGACATTATTTGTATGGTGAGAAGTTTGATGTTTTCTCTGACCATAAAAGTCCAAAGTATTTGTTTCCTAAAAAGACTTGAATTTACGCCAACGGAGATGGATGGAATTCATGGAATATTATGACTTCGAGTTACACTATCATCCGAGAAAGACCAATGTAGTGGCCGATGCCTTGAGTCGGAAATCTGTGAGTAGTTTGGCAAGTGTGGCCATTAGGGAATGGGTAATGCTAGGCAATATCGATAATTTCAATTTGCATTTGGATGAGTCCAACAAGGGTGCTACCTTATTTACTTTGATTGCACAACCCACCTTGATTAGTAAGGTCATAGAGGCACAACAAGGTGACCGTGAGGTGGAGACAATCCATGATAGGATCTCCAACGGGAAGAAAGAGAAGGGTTTGAACACACACTCGGATTTCCAACTCAAGGGTTTGAACATACAATCTGGAATCTTGTAGAGAAGAGGTTCTCCGATAATTTAATCATTTACGCCTTGCGGTACATTCGGAAGGCACAAAAATGTATCATGATCTTAGCTGTCAGGTTTGGTGGAGGGGTATGAAGCGTGACGTCACTCTGTTTGTTTCGAAATGCCTTACGTGTCAACAAGTGAAGGCCGAGCACCAAAAGCCAGCGGGTTTGTTACAAAGTTTACCGATAACTAAGTGGAAATAGGAGCATCTTACCATGGATTTTGTAGTTTGGCTTCCTAGAACACAACGGGGCAATTATGCCGTTTGGGTGGTCATTGATAGATTGTCTAAGTCCACACACTTCAATCCTATGCGCACCAGTGACTCAGTTGATTATTTGGCAAAGTTGTACATTTAAGATATAATCCGACTTCATGAGGTTACGGTCACCATAGTCTTCGATAGAGACCCTCGTTTCACCGCCCAGTTGTGGCAAAGCCTACAAAACGCGTTGAGAACTAAGTTGACCTTTAGCACAACTTACCATCCTCAAACCGACGGGCAATCGGAGCACACTATCCAAATTTTGGAGGACATGCTGAGAGCTTGTGTCCTTGTTTTCAAGGGGTCTTGGGAGAGGCATCTAACGTTGATCGAGTTCGCTTATAACAATAGTTATCAGACTAGTATCGAGATGGCACTGTTTGAAGCCTTGTATGGCCGACCTTGTAGATCACCAGTTTGTTGAGCCGAGGTGGCCGATACACCGATGTTAGGCCTAGAAATTGTTAGAGAGACGACCAAGAAAGTTGCTCTCATTCGAAAGAAGTTAGTTACAGCTCAAAGTCGACAGAAGAGTTATGCTGAGAAGTGAAGACGACCTCTATCTTTCAAGGTTGGCGACCATGTGTTTCTTAAAATTTCACCAAGGTGGGGTTTGATGAGATTTGGTAAGAGTGGGAAATTATCTCCAAAGTTTATTGGACCTTTTGAGATATTGAAGCGAATTGGGAAAGTGGCATACTGTTTAGCCTTACCGCTATAACTTGCTGGAGTTCATGACGTATTCCGTGTGTCTATGCTTAAGAAGTATGAACCCGACCCTTCGCATGTGCATGATTGGGTTAACTTGGAGGTAGATGAAGATGCCTCATATGAAGAACGGCCGGTTCAAATACTAGACACCCGAGAACATGTGTTGAGGGGTAAGACTATACCATTAGTGAAGGTGTTGTGGAGACACCATGGGGTTGAGGAAGCAACGTGAGAACGGGAGGCAGAAGTCCGCTCCACATATCCAAATTTATTTGAGAACACTTAATTTGTTCTAAATTGTAAAATTCTCTTGGTATTGAAGTATTTGAGTTGCTAACTACTTGCCAATCCTTTTTCAGTGTTCAATTTCTTTTGTTTTCCTGAGTTTCCCGAGTCACCAAACAAAGCAATCCAGAATAAATAACACAGAATTTGAATTGCAATAACATTAGAGAAAGAAGTTGGAGGGCTCAAGCCAATTGACAAATAACAAAATTCATGCAAAAGGTAAAGGACATTCATTGAAAACAAAAACAAAACAAAAAAAAAACCATGGATTTCTTTTCCTTGAGAAAAATTTAGGAAGAAAAAATAAATATCAAGAATTAAGAACAAGAAATTTCACCTCATTGAAATAATCATGGAAGATGAGCCGCAATAATGCTCAAAGACATTGGAGTAGACTTCGTAGAGACGACGAACCTTTAATCGGATGATTTGCCCAGCTTGGGGGCAAGATTCGCGGTAGAAATCATATTTGAGTGGACTGGGATTGCAAGTTAAATAGCCCCCATCACTCGTTTAAAAGGTGCGAGAGAGAAGGTCCAATAACCTAATAATTCAGCAAAATATTCAGACCAAGGGTATTTTAAGTTACCAAAATGCCAAAGGTAATAAGAAACTGAAGCTGTGTGCATATTAGCATCTGGTTGTAACTCTTGTAGAGAAAGTGCAGTGCAGTGCAACTAATGATAGGGAGGCATAAAGCTAGAGAGAAGTCATAGACGATAAAAAATCCCATTTTATGGGCTTCTGAGTTCAAAATTTTCAATTTAGCCTTCACTTGCAAAATCATGCAACAATATTAACTATATCTAATTCAAATATGACCTGCAACATTAGGAAGTGATGTCAACTCATTCATCACAAGTAGAAGCTCCCAATTTCGTAAGACTAAAATGTAGAATGTCTAACAAAGAATACAAAGCAAGTGAAGTGTTACATACAAGGCACAAAAAGAAAAGGTATTTGTCGAACATTTGTTTGTTTTGAACTAATGAAAAAATAAATAGAAAAACATATAAACATTATGGAAGAAACAGGTCAAACACAGCACAAAACCAAGAAGGTTATTACAATTTATATTGGCCCCTCATATTAGCCTTTCCAGGTGTGAGCCATTTACGTACCCAAGAAGCATAGTTATCGGAATCCCGATCCGGATCGTAGGATCTTATGACCCTACGATTTCAATTGTGCCAAACGATCCGGATCACACTAGATCTTAAATTTAGTAGGATCTTAAAGTTACTATAATCCTATTCATAAAATCGTGTAGAATCACATACGATCCTGATTCTACTACGATCCCGATCCTAACAATTTTTTTGTTGTTATTTATTTCTTATATATATGTATATCTATATAAAAAAATTTGACTATAAACACTTTTTTCAAACTCTTCTAATTTATGTTAACACAAAAGATGCATTATATCGAATTTATCATTTTTCTTTAATATTTTTAAAATTACGTAATATATATTATCATTATCAACAATTTTTTTTATTTTACATTGAAAGTAGAATCTTACAATCCTCGATCCGATTCTACCATCAGATCCACTAGTCCCTTCCAACGATCCCACATAGGATCCCGATTTTAACAACTTTGCCAAGAAGCTATATTGCATGCAGCTGGCCTCTTTTCTATTGAACGAAGATGGTACTCTCTACTCACCCTCCAATATTCACTAAGAGACTAATATTCACAGAGACCGTACTCGTGTCTCAGTTTTTTTGTTCTCTGCTGCTGATAAATTTAAGATTTCATAATCATTTTTTGTTGGAGCAAGTTCATTCCAAGATTCCAATAACAAAAAATTCAAAAAAAAAAACACAACCATTATCAGAAATGACTAAGACCCTAATTTAACACAAAATAAGTCTACTGTAGTGTTGGCTTTGAGCCCATTAATCCAGCTATAGCCTAAAGTTAGAAAATTACACATCAAATTTGTCCAGATAATGCAAAGGCATATTCAGCGAAGAGGAAGCTTTAACCAATGGATACCATTCATTTAGCAAAAAATTAAGAATATACCACAAAGAAAGGCAATTAGAAACAAAAGCAGTATCTAATCAAGCATTCATTAATAGGAATATAAAAGTACCTGAAGTAGACTCGCTCTTAATCTGAATCTCATTCTCTTCAATTAGTGTGTGTTTGGTTTCCATCTTCTGCCCTCAAAACATCTGATAGATAAGTAAGGACATAACAATTCACCAAACTTTCATAGCTAGCATACACTGAAAGTAGAAACCAATAACAACAAAAACAGGATAAAACAACCAAAGATCTCAATTTACTTAAAAACTAAAACTAACATACAAGGCAGAGTTTCGGAGTCTCACAACAGCTGGTCCACTAACCTCCCGTCGATTTCAAGACCTAAGCAAGATAACACAAGCAAAGAAAACTAATCTATAGAGAACAAATATGCTTTCAAATCTGCAACATATATAGGTGTACCTTCAGATATGAAGTTATATATATACATATATAGTCGTGCACCTTTATATCTACAAACATACACTCAAATCTGGAGTATTAACGTCATCACTGCAAATATATATATATATATATAAATCAGAAATTTCATGCAAAATTTTGAGTGAAGAGAGAAGATCAAAGTGAGCAAGGCAAAGTTTTTATTATTTTTCAATAATAACGAACCAACCAACCAATCCAAGTAATTTGTTTTCTTTCCAAATAAAAGGCAATAACAAATTAACCCCCAAAAAAAGTTTTTAAAAAAATAACTATACCTTAGAAGCTCCAATCTATAAATTTCTGCCATTTGTCTTTTAAACACCATCTAACAAACCTTAAAATTCAAACCAAATTTCTATTTCTACAATTAAAAAGACACAAATGTAACACCATGTTCTGAAGCTCGAATCTATAACCACTATATTGCTTTAGCAGAAACTCATTAGCACCAAGTTCCAACACCAACTTTAGCCTTAAAACCAGCCATAATATTTCACAAATTTCTTTCACCAACACCAGCCATGACTCAACTGAACAGGAGAGGAGACATATCCGCATCCGTATGTCATTCACATCCTTGCTCAAAAAGTTATGATTATTGCATGCAGCTGGCCTCTTTTCTATTGAACGACTTTGTCCATGGTTTTTCTTGCATATTTGAAGTAAACCAACATTCTTAGAAATTTCATATAGAAATCAAGTAGCTAGCAATAAGAAAAATTTTAAACCATGATGGACATGAGAAACTTGTGCATAATTCGTATAAATTAGAGAGAAAATTATATGGAGGATAGCTCTAATGCACACTACTCCTTTTAAGAATACAGAATTTCAAAGCATATTAAAATGGCAAAACTCAAAGACAAAACTTGTTAACTAAAAACGATAAATTATTTAAATCACATTTGGTATTTTTCTACCGAGAGTGATTGATAGGTGCCAAAGAGGAATAATTAGATAGATGCTTTATTGGACACACTATCAATAAGTCCACACTCAAATTTGTCATATAAAGCTCTTGAAAGGGCCACAAACTACTTTCACCAAACCAAAATTGGCAAATAAAAAGACAAAACAGAGAAGTCATAGTCAACAATGTTTTGAAATCTATGACCAACCATTTAATTCAAAAAAATAGGCATTTGTCTAACCTACAGTCACTGTAGTCATTCAAGCTTAACCTGATAGAGGCAACAATAATGATCAAACTGCGAAAGAATACACACATACATATATAGAGAGAGGGAGAGGGGGACCAAACTTGCTAAATAATGATGTCCTTCATAAATAAAAGTTTTCCAAACATACACACACATATACACAAGTAAATCAGCAACAAATTGCAGAAGAGGTAACAATTTGAAAACAAAAGAATAGAAACAATAGAATCAAAGAATGTAACCTATTCAAATCCACAACCCAACAAAAAAAATTCAAAAACATTAACATTAACATTAACATACACTACTAATCAAAAACATTAAAAAAAATTAAAAAAAAAACTAAAAAAAAAAAACTAAACAATTACGTTAAATATGATAATGTTTATCTATTGCGACCATTCAATTACCTTCAAGTCCTAAGCAGTTTCACGGCAAGCCTCTTGAATGGAAGCTTCCTGATCAGGAGCTTAGTACTCTTTTGTTACCAGCAAATTTCACTACATATCAATTAAGATAACAAAGAATCTGAAAAACACAAGAATTGTTATAAACGTATAAACTATGAAGCACGGGTACTTCAAAAATAGTGTCGTACGAGTGCCGGGTGCAGGTACGCGTACCGGGTATGGCAAAAGGGCGTCCGGTACGTTTGTTTCATTTGGGTACGGCATGGGTACGTCATGGGTACGCGTACCGGGTACTGCGAAAGGGGATCCGGTACGTTTGGTTCATTCAGGTACGGCGTGGGTACGCCATGGGTACGCCGGGGCCTCCTTTTTTCTTTTTCTTTTTTTGGTTCCCTTGCAGATTAGCAATTTTGATGTTTCTCTGCTGTCCTGTCTATTTGTATGAATTGTATAAGCATATCAGCAAATGATTTTGATGCTTTTAAAAAGCAATTTGAACAAAAAAAATAACAAGGCCTATAAAGGGCAGTTCTGCGTATGACTATGCATTATGCTTTTGCTTCAAATCCTCTTAGAATTTCTTTATAAAATCTTTAATCATAACAAACTTTTAAAGTTTATGCACAAAATATTAAAAATTGATACGGTATTAGTTGATTAGTAATGGTTGGAAATGATGCAATTTTATGTATTATGCAAATTGCAATTGACAACCTGCCTCAATTGAGAATTTTTTTCCCTTTACTGTTGGCAATTAACTTTAAATCTTTCTTTGGTCTCCTGTTATTTCTTTGATCACCCTATAAAAATAGCAAATTGATGAGCAAAAAGAAAGATTTTAAAAATAAATTATGATAACAAATTCACAGTGCATAACATGTCAAAGTGAGAGATTTTACAAATATTATTTTTAACGCTTAATGGTTTTAAATTATAGGAAAATGAGTAGTTCTCTTTTTAGTTTTGATATTTAATTTTAATTTGTAGGTTGGACCCTTTAACCATAATTATAGAAAAACATATATATATATATATATATATCGGCTTACCGCAGCCGTACCCATATCATATTTTTTTTGAGGTTTGCCGAATCGGCGTACCTGCACTCGTACCCATACCGCACTCGTACCCGCACCCGTGCTTCCTTGGTTATAAATATAGTAACCATAATTCAAGCTTTAATTCACTGAGTAGAGAAGAATTTACTTGCCTAAAAAGTTGTAAGAAGGGCTACCAAAAGAATGTTTATTCAGAAGAACAAAAATCAGTGAACTCAACACTATGATGAAGAGCCAAAGACAAAGCCATGAAATTTGCTTCAAAAACTACGAAATATAGCAGCTAAGGATTTGCAGACTATCATTTAAAAACCAATGCCGTGAAGCCACAATGTAACCAATGTTGTGAAGCCACAATCTAACAAAAGCAAAGTTACTATTGAATCAACACCATATATAACATTTTTGATATTTTGTGAGAAAAATCTAAAAAATAGCAAAGTAACTATTGAAGCAACATTGCTAAACTCTAGTATTTTGTCGTTATTCATTACTAAAATATAGCAATAAATAACCATATTACATAGATAATCTGGGAAAACACCAAAAGAAATTAGCAGCAACCAAGGGGCCAAGATAAGAAGAATATAAGAGACATTACTTTTCATAATAGCTGGAAAAGAAAGCTGGAAGTTAAAGAGAGGCCAACATTGATGTATCTCCAACTTTGGGCTGGTTACTTTTCAAGGTATAAATCACGCATAGTGCAAGTGTAGCTATATGCAAAATGCAATTCTATCCAGCATCCCATCCGTTAGAAAACAAAAAAGATTTTTAAATTTCTAGGAAGTTCTACAAAAACAAACCAAGCACACTTGCTAGTGTTATTGCATTGACCCCACACATAAAAATAAATAAATAAATAAAAATCCAAAGAGAATGAAAACATTGAAAATACATGGGTAAATTTCTTTAAAGTATAAACTTAGATATGCCAACTCATGGAAGAAATTTTAGTACACACAAATCTGTAGAACAATGGAAAACAACCTAAAGAAACATTTCAATTCAAATAAATCATTCCCAAATAAACCCAAAATAACCCAAAACAGAACACACAAATATGTAGAGCAATGAAAAATAACCCAAAAAAAACATTTCAATTCAGATAAATCATTCACAAACAAACCCAAAATAACCCAAAACAGAGCAATGAAAAAAAAAAATTTCCCTAAACCAAAACTAACTTGGGGTACTTTCTCAGTAGAGGAAGAAAACCACTATGAAACAACTCCATTGAGGCTCTTATGATATTCAAAATCTTAGACCTACAAAATAAAATTAAAAAAAGATAATCAAAATGAGTCACCCAAACATAATCAAACTTGGTTATGAGCTAAGCTAGAGTTAGGAATTGATGGAAAGGAGGATTCATTGTGATGGTGTGTATTGGAAGACACCCAAGAATGAGTGAATGAATGAGGCGGAGTCATGAGCTAAGAGACAGAGAGAGAGGACTGATGAGAGTGTCATCTGATGTGTGTGTGTGTGTGTGTGTGTGTGTGAGAGAGAGAGAGACAGAGACAGAGACAGAGAGCAACAAATGAGAGTGTCAACTTCAGACAGGATTTGAGTTTTGAATTTTGAACTCATCTCAACTTGAGCCCCATGATTGAAGCAAATAATGAATTTGAGCTTTCAAAGATAGATCCTCTCACTTACATTTTACATTTGTAATGTAACAGTGGAAAGCTAAAGGAAAGAAAGACTATCTCAACCATTGAATCAAATGTCCATATAGGATAACCATCCCATTAGTCCCCCTGTTTTGTTATATATATATATATATAAAATATAAATTAAGAATAAATTATAAATGCTTTGGACCAAATTCATTGCAAGAGATAGCAAACAACTTTTATCAATTCTACTACCATTTCGTAAATAAGTTTCAAATATTAATCACTTTGTTTCAACATTGAATCACTATTTTAAGTAACTTAAATCACTATAAACCTTCCCCAAACTATGAATTTTTAAATCAATGAATTGTAAAACCACTTCTTGTAATGATATTTGGAGGATTCAATCCGAAGCATCATACCAAACCAAAACAAACAAAAAAAAATAATGATGATAATAAATAAAACTGAAAACCTGAAACCAGATTTGAACTACTACCCCTTTACCCTTAACCTCAAGAGGTTTTAACATGATTAAAGTTTGTTTTGGTGGACTATTTGCATACATTTTTGCTGTTGTGAGGTGCCTTATAGTCCTTTTCCTCTTGTTCAAATAATATACAAAACCAATCATACATAAGAAATTACACACATTATAGCAGTGCAAGTCAATAAATTGATTAAATAGACTACAACACAAGACCCAAATTCTTAGTTCACACTAGGTTTTTTCTTCCAATAATTCATGTGTACATCCAACATAAAAATATTGTGTTTAACTGAATTTGCAATTGATCAAAGAAACATAAATGTGAAGTACCAACACAAAATACTCCTAGAATTACCAAATCTGGAAATTAACATATGCCCAGAACGAAATAGGTGGCTGAGAGAGAGAGAGAGAGAGAGAGAGAGAATTAGGGCACGATGGCAGGAAGCAAGAGAGGATGTAGAGGGACAACAAAAGCAATGGAAAGCGGGCTTACCGGTGGGATGGGTCGTGCGAATGTGGGGACTGTGGCGACGGAGGGGGTTCCGCTGGATTCAGAGAGATGGTGACAACGGTGGCGTGGTGCGGTAGTGATTACAGTGCAGTGAAAGTGTGTGAGGTAGAGAATGCTAAGAGAGGATGTCGATTTGTGAGAAATTAGGGCAGAGAATAAGATCGAGAGATGGAGAAAGAGAAATCAACTTACTGGTGAGAATGAAATAGTCGACGTTCGTCAATCGCCGGTGGCGACTTTGGATTTCAGGCGGTACAACGTGGAATGGGAGGAACAAAATCGTCCGTGAGGGAGGAGGATGAGAGGAAGTAGTTGTGTGTGTGCGCGTGTGAGAGAGATGAGAAACGTAGGAGTGATTAGGGCATAATTTTGAGGGTCCCCAAACTTTGAGTGGGGATTTCAAGGTAAAATTTTATGAAAAATTTTGTTCTTAATTTTTTGTAAATGTAAAAAATAGGTTAGGTTTATTAAATTAATATTTATTGTTTATAATTTTTATTTTTTTGAAATTTTATGACTCAGTTTGAGAAAAAAAAATACAAAATTTAAATACATTTAAAAGTATAAATTTTATTAAAAAAATTAAAATTACACCAAATGTTAAAAAAAAATCAATTATTTTTTATATTTTTTGTATTTATAAATTTTTTTATAAATATTTTACTTTTTAATTATATGTAGATTAATTGAATTTAAAAATTAAAATTTGTAATTAAAATATTAATAAAATTCACTTAAAAAAATGTATTGAAAATTCAAAATTAATTTTTGCAATTCTAAATTAAACATAGTATTAGTTTTTCAAATTTAGAAAAAGGTATATTATTTTTTATTGTCATAAATAAAATACTGAATATCCATCACAACAAAAGTTAAAAATTGTGAAAACAAATGAGGCCAACCGAAAATTTAGGAAAAACAAATGACACAACTAGAAAAGTATAGGGACTATTGTCACAAGTTATCCTATAAAAAATTAACGGTACTCCTTGGTGATGGAATTCAATTGGTATAAAACATATGTATGAAACCAACTAGTAGGAAGTCTTGAAGGACAAAACATATGTACGAGCCTTTATTTATTTATTTTTTTACCTTTCTCTTTATGTTTCTCTCTCTCTATTTTATGGATGGAAAAATTAAAATTTGTAGAGGCAATTATCAAAAGGTTCAAAACATACTTTTCTCTCATTCAACTAGTGACTCTTCCGCAATTCTATGTCATTATAGGCCTCTCTTCCGCTATACGAAAATGTACCACACCCCTTGTATTATTGGACCTTCCTAAAGCTATCATGAAATCAATTTACTTCTCTCGAAAATGATACAATTAAACCCTTCAATGTATATACTAATACATAAACTATAAGTTGCGAGAATAATGGTATTGACATGGTTGCGCTACGTCGCCATTAGATAGAAGGGCCAATTTGATAATATTCAAATTGTTAATCAGGCCACATATCTAATTAGATTAGATGGATAAATTACGTATAAAGTGAAATGTCAAATTAGATGTGGTTATGATGTTAATTGTTAAATTTCACCTAAACATTTACTCATTAGTCCGTCTTTGGCATTTAATTTTATAATTTTTACTCCTTTACTAGAAATTGCACCTTGCTAATAGTTAAATTTCACCTAAACATTAAGGCTAAATTTCACTATTTGAAAAGAATGAAATTTCACTAGTTAAAGACAATGAAATAATTATTACTATCAAGTTTTAATTAAAAAAATATTAAAATTTTGGTAATTTAATATTTTGGAATTAATTATGCAACAAATTAATTAAAAATTGCTACTGTTTGCATAAATTATCTAATAGATCAAGAATACCACATGTTCATGTGCCTAATTAATAAAATAACATACTTTTAGTTTGGATTTTTAAGAGTCCAAAATTAAAAAATCATTGATAATGGTGGTAATGATTATGGAGGTGAATGATTGTAGTAGTGGAGGTGGTAGTGGAGAGATGGTAACAATGATAATAGAAATTATGATGCTGGTAGTGAAATGATGGTATGTTTTATGGTGACAATGACAATGATAATGAAGATGGTGGTAATAGCAATGGTGGCTTGATAATGGCGATGGCGATGGCGATGGTGACAGTGATAACGGTAGCAACAACATTGGTGATAATTGTAGTGATTGTAAAGTTATAATGGTGTTGATGCTTGTGTGTAACTATTTATAAATTCAATTAGCATTGAATAATTATGTAATTTTATGTGAGAAATTTGTCATAATTTAAATGAATTTTATCTTACAAACTTAAAATTTAATGAAACAAATGGATTAGATAAAGGGTAACCTGCCTTTTACACCAACACCACCGATTTCACCACCACCATCACCACTGTTACAATAGTTGTCATGCCTTATCACCATTTGAACTCCACTACTATCACTACTCAACCACCACCACAGTCACTCCCTACACCACCATCGCCATTGCTACCACCCTACCACCACATCCACCTTTACCCTACCGCTGTGGCGACTAAAGTTCTTCGTCGCCCTGTTGGTTGCCAAAGCCTTGTTGGCAATAGTCAATGGCGACTAAATTGATGTTGATCGCTAATTATCTTATCTTCGGCTACTAAAACGAACTTAGTCGCCAAACATAACGTTTTGGCGACGAAATATTTAATCGCCGAAAGTAATTAAATCAAAATGAAATTTTCTTTCAGTGACTAAAATATTTAGTCGCCAAAACATTTTAGTCGTTAATAATAATACATTTACCGACTAAAAATTTTAGTCACTAATAATAATACATTTAGTGACCAAATAGTTTAGTCGTTGTTAGTTTTCACGACTAAACATTTTAGTCGCCAAAAGATTAGATATTTTCACTTACTCTCTTTGTGAAAACTTACGCATTTTGTATTATTGTCATTTTGTGTTATTGTCAGTTCTTGAAAAAAACTTATGCCTTTTTGTGTTGACTTACACTTTTTTATGAAATCACTTACGCTTTTTGTGAAAACTTAAGCCTTTTATGTTGTTGTCAGTTCTTGAAAAAAACTTATACCTTTTTGTGTTGACTTATGCTTTTTTGTGAAATCACTTACCTTAATTGTGAAAACTTACACCTTTTTGTGTTAACTTACGTTTTTTTTTAGAAAACACTTACCCTATTTGTGAAAACTTACGCCTTTTGTGTTGTTGTCAATTCTTAAAAAAAACTTATGCCTTTTTGTGTTGACTTACGCATTTTTTGTGAAATCACTTACCCTATTTGTGAAAACTTACGCCTTTTGTGTTATTATCAATTCTTGAAAAAAAAAAATTACGCCTTGTTGACTTACGTTTTTTGTGAAATCACTTACCCTATTTGTGAAAACTTACGCCTTTTGTGTTGTTCCAAATATTTTGTGAAAAGGCTTACATGTTTTTGTGAAAATTTACACATTTTTCTAAAAATACTTACACGTATATAATATAATATATTATTTTATTAATTTCACCTGTAAGGTGACCTGCTTAGCAGGTCACCAATATATAAGTTTTAACACAAATTTGTATAACTAGTAACACAAACTTGTATAACCCAAAACATAAAAATGTATGCGTACCTTGCATATGGTATGCAAGGCTAGGGCTGCAAACGAACTGAGCCGAGCCGAGCTTTGCTGAGCTCGAGCTCAGCTCGTTTACTTATCGCGCTCATTTATTGAGCTCGAGTTCGGCTCGATAAGGAACTAGGCTTGAGCTTGGCTTGGCTCGGCTCATTGATATTAATGAAACTTGAGTTCGGCTCGGCTCAAAAAATTGTTTTTTAATATTATTTATATTATTTAATATATTATTTAAATTATTTAATATATAAATAATATATTTATTATATAATTTAAATAAATATAAAATGAGTGGAGCTTGATGAGCCGAGCTTATGCAAGTTTGAGCTCGGCTTGTTTACTAAACGAACCGAGTTGAGCCGAGACCTTAACGAGCCAAGCTGAGCTTGTTCATGAACAGTTCGGATCATTTGCAGCCCTATGCAAAGCATACCTAAGAAAAGCCCTAGAAGTCATAGTGTATCATACAATTCACAATCAATTCCCGATTTGATTTATTTTTATAGTTCTTGTAACTTTTGAAACTATCATAATTGATAGATTTCAATTCTTGCTATATATATATATAAAATTAAAATGACATAATCCAGTTTGTAAGAATATTTTATACAAAAATAATCAATACATGGGAATGATTTATTGTTATTTTGGTGATCAGATTTTTTTTAATAAAATTCTGTAAGACTCAACATGTCCAAAAATACATAGTTTAAGAATGTTCAAAACTACAGTAATTTGTACTCATGAATTATATATTGCTGTTTTAGTGAAATAAATATAATGTAAAATTACATGAGTTAAACCTAATCATTTCACAAGTTTTTATTTATTTATTTATTTATTTTTAATAATGATAATCAGACACTTTTTAAAATATTGGAGGTTTTAAAATAAAATCCATTCACTTAATTATGTTTATTATTATACTCTATATGGGTTTTTAAGTCCATTTTTTTAATGCCAATAGGGATTATATTATGATTTTAAAATGACTTTATAGTTTATAGGATTTGTACTCACATCTCTCGCTATAAACGCAATGTATTCCTAATTAAACCATATAATCATGTTCTTGTTTAAGAACAGTTCAGTAATATGTGCCCAAAAAATATATATACACGATAGTTTAATATCATATTTACAGTTTGTATCAAATGTTAATGATTTTCGATTCGATTCGAATTTAGAATTTGATACAATTCTCATCAATTTGACAACTATAAGAGTTTGAACAACTACAATGTGATGTACAAAACACACTATCAATTGCAGAATTTTATGATTTCTTAAAAAGTTTGTATGAATCCCACAACTGCACTCTTTTTCTTCTTCTTCATGGCACAATGCATGGAGGCCTATAAATTACTAACAAAGCTCCACTGGAGATATCGCACGCTCTCATCACATTGAGCATTTTGTCAATCATTTGTAAGTTTCTCTCTCCCTGCTTCACTCAAACAATTCATTTTGAATAATTTTCTGTGGTTTTTTGTGTAGTCCTCCAGGCTTCAAGCTTTTGTGAGTGCAAAATGTCATACTGACTGATATTTGATGCTATATTTTTATGGTATAATTTTATTGAAGAAGGTTTCATACTTGTGTTTGAAGGGTACATTTCCAAACCTGAGACACCAAATCCACAGCTGCCTACTTCTAGTGAGGAGGTTTATTGCGAAAACAATACCCTGGTTGCTCAAGGCCTGCCTTTCCCAGGTGGAAATATTGACAACTTCTGGAACAGAAACAGAACTTTTCCAAGGTAATTACCATGGCTAT